TGTGACCCTACTCCATTCCGTTAACTTCAGACACACAAGCAAACAAACAGACAGCCCACCAAAAACAAAATCTCCATACACAGATGTAAGAACATATTGCAATGTGTAATTTGGAAAGCTCAATGAATATTGGTTAATCCCTATCATGAGTCACATACAACAGAAAACAGATTTCAAGCCCTGTCTTGGCTCTCATTTTGTACTGCAGTTATCGTAACCAAATGGAATTGCCTATTTCCGAAGAAATAGATCTAGGCAGCCTGTTCTGGGACCATGTTGAAAGGAGCTGTATCTTATCATGTACTGCGTACAGCTAGTAGTAGTGATTTCTTACGTGTTGTTCCTGATATGTAGCTACCCGCTGAGACATGGGGAAATGGGTTGAACTGATTCTGCCCCAGAGGTCAACATGAAAGACATACGACCTTGAGTTATCAGATAATGCTGTCTACAGTCGGCTGTTCTCACTGTTTAAAAAGAAACTATGGAATCTCCAAACCATGGAAGAGAAAGCAACCACTGTTAATGTTCACAGAAGCCCAGAGTAATGTGCGTAAACTCTTGCAGAATTTTTTTTGTCGGATGTGAAGTACGTTTCTTTGACATTTGTGATTCTTGGTGGGGAATGATAACGCCGGAGAAGGGTCTCTGAAGCTACAGCGTGTGTCAAGAGATCTGAACCATGGAAAAGAAAGCAACCACTCTTTGTGTTCACAGAAGCTCTCAAAAGTATAACATCCAGCAGAATTTCATTGTCGGGTGCAGAGTATGTATCTTTGACGTTTGCGACTCTTGGCGAGGAACGATAACGCCAGAAAAGGTTCTACCAGAGCCTCGGCTTGTGTCAAGAGATGAGCATCTTGTCAGCGAGGCTGCTGTAAGATAACGCTGTGTCAGAGCGCCGCGGGTTAACCGGGGCCTGAATAAAACATGGAGAATGGATCCATGTGCCAACTATCTGTAGCAAGATCAGGAGAAGTACTTGACGTGGTGGACTGTGGAGAGAGATAGGACTCATGTGGAGAGGACATGGAATAGTTTGTTAAAATTGGCTGAAACACCAGGAGGCACGTAAAGATCAACATCAGACTGTAGGAAGGGGAACAAACATGAAAAAAGAAGCAAGGCTATTCAGACTACAGTAACTGAATGATGAGATTGTATATGGAAGGCAGGAGAATTGTAGTACTGTCATTTTATGTTCGCAGTAGCAAAAGTTCACAGTCTGAGCAAGATACTCATGTAATTATACATTCGCAGTGGTGGCAGGTGCAGAAAGAAAGAAGAAAGTCCGTGAATTAATTGTGATTTACAGTATTTTTTTTGCAATGCCTTCTGCAACTTAAACAAATTCTTGGGCCCCCATGAGATGAAATGCAAGTTATTGACAACTTGTACAACAGAAGCTAAATGCATTCTGTCCAGACTGTATACAACAAGTGAATGAGATTGAAGTTTAGGAATGGGTTGAAATTATTTGCTTGGTGGTCTTCTTGGCATTGTTTGGGTCCATTTAGTGTATAGTAAAAATGTTTGCAAGAAAGCCCTTTGGCTTTTCAGTAGGTTAATATTTTAGCAGGCTATTGATAGTCGTAGACCCAATGCATATCAGACTCCCAAGGTGTAATCAAAGGTCATGACCTCAGACCCACAATGCCTCAGTCCAGTTGCCGAGCCTTCCCCAGGCAAATCTTGATGCAGTGCCAGGTTTGTGAACTCTGCCCCAAAATGTGGGCAGTTTAAACCCCTGGAGCTATAAATGTGCAGCTATTTTGCGAAGGAAGGTTTTATAGATCACCGAAAAGGTTGACATGAAGGCTTGCGGCCTAGAAGAAGGTCAGAAATGAGTCCCAAAGTGCTGCTTATATCCACACACTGCATTGGAAGCAAAATTAACTAGGAAACAAATTAAGAAGAGTCTTTGAGGGCTCTATATAAAAATGGAGAAACATCCACTCTTCAAGGATGAGTAAAGTCTGCATAGATAAAGATCACCGAAAATGGCTTTGCCGTTTTCTATGTATTGATCTTCAAGTCAGATCCATCATTTTTATGGATACAGAATGTATGATTCAATGCATTGTTGATTTTATTCCTCCAAGCTTGAGGGATGGGAATCGGTTTTCCTGTCACACTGTAGACAGGGAGAGCATTTTTATGTTATATTTGGTCATGTTTAAGTGAAGTGGTGTAAAACTTGACGTAATTCAGTTTCCCTTTTGAGGTAACTTCACAGACTTTTGAGAAGAAATAGACTTGGGTCAATAACATGTGCAATTAATGGGAATATAAATACCACAGGGCATATTTAAAGGGAGCCATAAATATGAGAGTCAAATATAATGCAGATAGACATAAAAGGGGTCCTTATCAACATTTCATTGCCCAGCTTTGATTGAAATACACAAATTTACAGAAGGTACAACTTACAATCACCGAAAAAAGACGCTTCTATTAGGAATGTATTAAATGATTTCTTATAGGCATCATTCAACCTGCATACAAGATTGTGTTGCGCTGAGATCAAAGAATTAGCGGAGTGTGATGTAGTGCCTGTGAAATTTTCTTGTCGCTTTAATGACTTAGAGAAATTACCGGCGGCAAGCAGAATTGATTGTCATAGGACAAGTCATCCATCACAAATCCCCCCTCCCTCCCAACTCAAAATCCTCTTTGCTTCAGCTTGTCAAGAACAGCGAAAAGGTTTTGTCAAGGAATAAAACATTTAGAGCTCTACATATAGCTGTTTCTCTGTTATGTGCATGTTACAAATTTACCCTCCTCCCTCCCAAGTCAAAATCCTCTTTGGTTTAGCTTATCAAGAACTGCAAAGGGTTATGTCAAGAAATAAAACATTTAGAGCTCTACATAAAGCTGTTTCTCTGTTATGTGCATGTTCCAAATTTACCCCCCCCCCACTTGCAATGCAAAATCCTCAGCTTATCTATAACCGCGAAGAGGTTATGACAAGAAATAAAACATTTAGAGCTCTTCATAAAGCTGTTTCTCCGTTATGTGCATGTCGTATCCTTTGACCAGCCCTTTTTAATCTCCATTTCTCTTTCACTGCCGTCTCTGCCCCTCCCCCTCCTAACCTGGAAACCAGAGAAGCCCTGGGGGGGAAGAACCATTATATGTGTGCAAAGTTAGTGAGCTGTGCCCTGACGTAGCTGCAATGAGGTGAGGGACCCTTGCGCGGAGAGTTGGGGCTAAAACCGAGATTGCTTTTGCCCCACTTGATCTGGGGCGCTCCGCGGAATAGAGTAGACTCATAAAACTCTGGCAGCGTTTATTACAGCGGAGTTGTGGAGATGGTAGTTAAACTAAGGGCACGAAGCATGCGTTTATCAACAGGGGACGATTTGGAGCCAGGAAATACCTCCTAGGAAATTCGGCTGAGCCAGTAATATCCTAGTAATATACAGACATTATTAACTCCGCAAAGAATCAGTGCAAGTTTATGCTGTCTGTTGCCTACATTTATTGGTGAACAGAGTAAGTTTAGAATTTCAAGAATGTATTTTGGTGACATTTTTGGCTTATAAGAACTAAGAATTGAGATTAAAATTCAAACAAGCCCAATATTTCTTTAGAAAGTCATTATCAAATTCAGACTGTGAAAATGTTTTGTCTTTGCACCCAATTTTGCTTGGTAATTTACCATTAAATTTTTCTCAAACCCCTCCGTACATTGTACTATGTTCTTTATAGTGTGGCAAATAGGCAATAAACCATGTAATTAGCAAACATACATTAAATACATAGATGTACATGTACTGTTTGTACACTGCCCTTGCTATGGAGGTGGTCAACCCTGAAGGTGTTCATCCATACATGTAATTACACTGCTAGAGGGGTGATGTCAAATGGGAGATAATGCCTACCCTATAGGACTGTAATGATTAATAATGAGACCTCCATAGGTGTGGTGACATTCATGATAACAGCAATGTTAAATGTCAAAAAATGTCAAAAACTGCAATTTTAACAAAAAGCTGCAGATAATAGTAGAGAATACGGAGTGATAATTTTGATTTGAATTCTAAATTTTGCTTGTAGATGTTTAAAATGACAGTTAAGATAAAACCACTTCAAATATAATTCACAGTTTGGTAGGTTTGTGTTAAATCTAAAAATGACGAAATTATGTCTGTTGTACCAGCTTTCAAATTACATATTGCGTTTGCAATTGAAGCCATATTAAGCCTTAATTAACATCTCGTTAATGGATCATAAGTCTTTGTTGGCAGCAAATTGCTAGTTTATTTCTAATTAGCATCCAAATGTTATCCGCTATTTCGTCGGATTGATTTTCGAAAGATAACTGTCGACATTATCCCGTGACCCACTTTAATAATGACCTCCTTTCTATCGACATAATGGACCCGTTATCCATATAATGACATCGCTATTTCAATTAACACCCTATAAAATGATCATATTACCTATTCATAGCATACACCAAGGTATTACTGCTATTGAAAGGGGTATTGAAATTTTGGACAGTCAGCACAAATGTTGAAGGTTTCGTGTCTGGACCTTAATCAAGCAAGAAAAATGATCTGTTTATCTGATCATTATATTATCATGTTATTATGACCATGGAACTACAGGTTCAGACTGACATATTCTGTATTTTTTTGTACTTTCTATCAAGAAACACAAAAAAACAGTATTCTATTGATACTTATTGGCTTTGGCATGCATGTATATTGCTTGTTTTATGGCCATAACAAATACTTAATTGTGGTGGGATTTTAGATGCTTTTATTGGGACCGTATATCGTACAGTCAATTCAAAAATTGGGCTTGATCTGCTTTGATGACAAGCAGAAAGCAGTGACCATGACTGTTGTTTATTTGAAGTTAATCCAGATAAATGCATTTTGATTGAATGTTGTTTCAGCATATGAAAATATTCATATTAGAATTTCTTAAACTGAGCATAAATTTTGTGCATAGCAAATTGTCTCACCAAGTCTCATATTTTCTTCTCACAGAGTCCAGAGTGCCGAACCAGCCCAGCTCTCTCCACGTGCGACCTTTGACCCACAGCATCGTGGTGTCATGGACGCCTCCGCTGGACACGAACATCATGATCCGCGGTTACATCATCGGCTACGGGAAGGGCTTCCCTGACGAGTACCGTGTCGTGGTGGACGGCAAGACTCGATACTTCACCATCGAAAACCTCGGTGAGCACATCAGAGACTGTTTGTTTGTTTGTTTGAGCCTTTCTTTATTCCTAGAATTAACTTCTGATGGCTGCTTTTCATTGAGGTCATCAAGAAAGAGATGGAAGATAGAATAAGATACAAGTTTCAACAAGTTTAAACTTTTGTTCCAACACAAAAGGTAAGTGTTCTCACCCAGACCTTTTGACCAGTCACTCTGGTCTTACTCAGTACACTGACCCAGTGAGACTGGTCACATGGCTTCTCTGAAGTGTGACGTCAACACTGGGTCAAAGGTATCTGGTAAACAATGTCAGGTCCTTTTACAGTTCCATGATAGGTTTCAACAAGTTCATGTTAAAATGTAAGAATGAAGAAAGTTGCTATCTCAAATCATGCCTCTAAACCCTCTCCCTGCTGCCTAACCTTGTAGTCATTACAAATTTGGTGCTAAATGGCTACCATAGCAGGCTGAAGGTTAAGTTGAAATAGAACTGCAGCAGGCTGATGCAGCAGTATCTTGGAGGATCTTCACTTAGAAAAAACGGTGCGATGCTACAGATAAGCTGTGCAGGTATAAGAAATGAACATCATTAGCATAGATAGCTGCCTCCGAGATAAGTCTGAAACTTATTGCTGATTACAAGTGTTGAAACGAGAAACCATCGTGCCATGGGATACATGCATCAGTACAAGCGACTTAGAAAATTGGATCCCGAAGGCATGGCTGTTTCAAATGGACTCGGACTGGCTTTTCCCTTGACCATATTTCAGCGGGGATTTGGTACAACGATGCTTGCCACAGGGTCCAAACAGTTTATGTTGACTGTGTAACAGTTTGTAGTTAACACCAGCAGTTAGAGGTCACCGAAAAGGCATCTTCGGTGCAAATACCTCCCTGCAGCCCCTTTCAAAGTGATGAGTGTCCCAAACAGTTGACATTTGTGTGGAATTAACTCTTCGCAATGCATGACTGGCGAGCTGAGGGTGGCTTTCAGCACTTTTATTTCTAGGTTGTCCTTGAAAAATGCAATCTGCAACACAAGTCGGATATTTCATCTCAGAGGAATATGACTACAATATGTCAGTGTCTTGTCAAGTAAGACTGATAGAACAGATGCTAATGCTGTGGACTACTGCCTCGCATGCAAAAAAAACAACAAGGAAGCTAGGATTTTCAGTGTAAAAATGTACAAATTTGAAACAAAACCGTTCCACATTTCTAAGAATGATTTTTACATTGTAAAATGTGTAGAATTGCTGCTGCTGATTTTACATTATGTGTACAACATTGCAAGGTTCTAAGATTTGGGATTGGATCCAATCTCCTGACTTTACTTTAAAATTGCTTGAAAAATACAGGAATTCTGTTGTCTCTGTGACCTTTGTGACACGATGGGTGGTCAAGGTCGCCCAGGATTGGTCAGAGGTTGTTTAAAGGAAGAATAAAAGGCCACAGACCCAATAGCCCCCAAACTGTCAACCGGTAATAGAATGATCCACTTTGCCAATCATTCGTACATCTGACGATGAACGAGTCTCATAAAGTCCAATCAAATACTGCGTAGTATTTTCCACACTGTAGTCTTGTAATGAAATGAGTTACATCACAAGAGCCTCTCTAGTACTGTAGCAGATGTCATTCTAGTAATGACTTAATCCACTTCCTTAATGAAATACCTATCCAAGCTGAAAGCTTTTTGGGGAGGGGCAATCAAATCGCAGTAAAACTGGGATTAAAGAGCCGGAGTTGAATTGCGAGGAATCTCGTAATGCGTCCTTCAAACAAACTGGAACTGGTCGGACAAGTGATTGTTTAATCCAGTTCGTCTGTCATTCTGCGATTTCTGCCAGAACGCATTTCAGCCCGCTTTTCGGAGTGGTATAAATGTTTGATCAAATGCTCGTTCAGTCGTACAAGCCGCGTCTGCGTAATGAGATAATCCAGTTTCTCCATCAGGGAAAGATGTTTGCGAAAAAAGGGCTTTCAAAGTGCAGTCAAATGGGCGCTACCTCGAAATCAACAGCCATTTTCACTGATGATTTTACTTCTCTACAAATTTAGCGTTGCTTGTTTGATTTTATGGTTCAGTCAGATTTTTGTTTCAAGGACTGTAAAAATGCATGTAATGGCATCTTTGATTTGTGTGATGCTGTAGTTTAATGTGCAAAAATGTATCTGATAATATGCAATACTATAAAGTGCTGAATAGACCAAAGTAACACTTGGTAATGCCAACAGTACTGAATGCTCGCATTTCAGTAAAATGTACCAACACATAATCCATTGCATTTGGTTGAGGGAATGTTTCTGATGTATCTATAGATAGCAGAACATGCGGTGTACCATGACAAAAAAATCCATGGCACTGGTGCATTTCCACATATGTAGCTGATAAAAGTTTCATTAGGCCCAGAGTAACTCGTAGATAAAGCAGAAACTGTAGCCATGAAGTCCAAGTGGATTAACTTGGGACAAGTATGGATGGCTTTGCTTAGCAATGAATGAATAAATAAAGCAAGAAACAGATGAACTATAGATAAAGGGGCTTATGCCTGTAAAACATGCGAATTTGGTGATGCATAGAGCTTTAGTGTTTTATCCTTGGTTAACCTTTTTCCTGCTGCCTCTAACCCTGGAACTAATACAAATTCGGTGCCAACCTTCTACTTTAGCATACTGAAGGTTAAATTCATACAGTTTTCTTTTCCATATCAAATCAAGAACATGTAAAGAATTACAACAAAAACATTTCACTTTAATTTACATTTGTGTATGATTTTTCCTGGGATATTGGTATAAGCCAGTTCTTTGAGAACACTTAAAAGGCGTTGAAAATTTTATGAAATGTGTGTCAGTGCCTGGGCCTCAGCATTACCATGTAGCTTTCAAGCCAGACTCGTGAGGACTGTTAAGTAGGTGTCTTATGACTAGTGACTGAATGTTATAGACTGGGAGCATCAACTTGTCTTCTGTGCCCAATGCAGGGATTTTACCCAAGGAACCGTTGCCAAAAAAAGTAGGCCTGGACCAAAACAGTGAATTGAGAAAGGCCACCAACTTCTGTCTTCAAAGAGTTATTTGTAGACGTAAAGAGTACCATATGGCTCAAAGTAATTTTTTTTAATAAATGATAAATGGTAGGTATACTGCAACACACCTACCTTTCAAATTTGTGTTTGTTTTCCGTTCAGAAATTAATAACATCTCAGCAAGCTTAAGCAAGTTGTTACCAATAATTAGTTTTTAACGAGGAAGGAAGGTAAGATAGAACTTCCCAGCTGCTGTACTCTTGAGATATTGAACAAGTCCCTTGTTGGCCTCTGGTTTAAAAGTTTGATGCAGTTTGGGGACAGACTTAATGCCAAGATTTAGTGTTCGTCTTATCGTGTCACCATCACTAGCCACCCTGTCTACACTCCGATGAAAAGGTAATAAATTTCAAAGCTTCTTGGTTCAAAAAAGGGATAAAATGATAAGAGAACCTCGGTTCTAATATTGGAGATCGCTATCGGAGTTGACGGTGGCATTTAGCGGATGTTAAGGTTGCTTAGCGATGGCGTTGGTGGGAAGGAACACCCACAGCACGGCAGTTTCACCCCATTATCACGAGTTACGGAGGTAACGAGACAGTACGCCAAGCCGCCATGTTTCATCACTACTTGCTTCAATCATAATTTTCTGTCATAAGACATCACACACAGTTGTGACGGCTCTGTGTTTTTTAGGGTGGTATTATAACTTCAAATTATTGACATTGTAAAGTAAATAATAACATTTTATGTTTGTCATACATTTAAACCCTCTGAACTATTTTACTATACAGGCAATAACTTTGCAGTTTCAAATTCATTTCTATCTTCACTGCGTATATCAAGCCTGTAAATTGATGTAGAGGATTTCAAGTAATGGACAGTTGGGGTGTTGGACCAATCAGGATTGTACAGTGATTTTAAATCACCCAATCAGATTTAAGCAGCACTGCACAAATTAATGTCTTTATTATTGTTTATTTCTTACTACAGAGGCGGCATCTTTATACGTTATCAAGGTGCGGGCGTACAACCAACTTGGGGAGGGCATCCCCATATACGAGAACACCTACACTCGACCAAAAACTAGTAAGTCCTCTTTTTCTTTCTCTCAAAAGTCTGTGTCAAGTACAATCTATCTTGTCATCATGTTTTGTCCACTAATGGTACATACTTGTAACATGTGTATGTCTGTATACTTCAAACATTAATTCTTATTTTCTACCAGATGTTTGTGTGACATTTAACATCAAAGTAATGTAGACTATGTTGTCAGACTTTTTAAGTGTTTAAGAGACAGTATTTTGGTAAGCATGTGAAAGATGATAAATCAGCAAAATTTTGATTAATTAACCATTTTTTCCTGACAGGCATGCAATTTATAACACTTTGCATGTAAAAATTGTGATGTGTTTATACATTTGCTTGTTGTATGTTGTTCCCATTGTATTTGTGGTCATAAGTTACATGTTCATGTAAGTGTGATCATGTGAATGAACACAGGTCCCTTTGGAAAACAAATGTCAGTGTACCTGTGTTTTTGTCTTGGTAAAATTGTAATGGAGAACTTCAAAATCCAACTCCAGCTGTTGATTTCCGAAGAATCCAGTGTTGAACTGGATTTTTGAAAGTTTAGGGGCAAAAATATAAAATTTACCTCCCCAGCAACTTTTGTAGATGGGTATTAGGAGTCCCCATTTGTGTAGAGGAGCTGGCTTTGTAAGCTATAAACATGGAGGAATACTTCTAATAATAAACCCAGGTCCAAGGTCAGAAAGTTTGGAGTGGTTGTCTCTTTCGAGACGTGACTTTTGGCTGAGAAGAGAATACATGTGTATGGCAGCAGGTTGTCTAGTATTCAAAACTGTGTTCTCTTCCTTGTCAACCTACCTTCTAACTGGACTGTCTGAGCTACTTTTCTGCAGTGCACAACTGTTCACAACTTCCCTGTAATGTACACAGCTTTGCTACTGCACAATAGTCTCTTCTAAAGCAACAATAACAGGAAAATATCAGCTCTGCATTCAACCACTAACACATCAAAGATACTGTTCCCTCCTAAATACAGAGGGGTGTTGTAGT